CTTGTAAGATTGGCGTTCAGCTCCATGCATACAGCCAACAAAAATAACATTGAAATAGAATAAAAACAATAAAAAAGGAATATAAAAAGTATTAAAAAAAAGGGATATAAAAATAATATAAATAGCTTAGCTTCGTGCCACCGAAACATTCTACACTACAGAATATTAAATTAACGGATAATCTACATTTGACAATTATTATCTCAAATGATTGAGCACGACAAACTCTTGCATATTTTCCTATACGGGTAGGGGTATGCAAAGATATAACCAGAAATAGCAGATACTCCAGAGCATTACACTGGAGATAAGTATCCGATTCGATTCAATTCCAACTAATTTCTAAACGGCTAAAAGAAAAACATTTAGCGTTCCACTCATATTTATTATGGCTTGCAACACAGCTGAGTCGAGATAAAACACCGCAAAGCGTATACGAAGGAGGCAGGAACAAATCGAAATTAATTTACCACGCCGCGGTGGTCCCTAAAAGCAATTTTGGAGTCCGAATTCACAGACTCAATTTCATGCAAAGTATCTATTAGGGTCACTCTACATACATGGATGAAATTAGCTTTATGAATAGTTTTTTTTTTAAATATTTTAAAACACAAACATGAGACAGTTCGCGCATTTATTAACTTTACTTAATCCTTTTTATTCGTTTCTAACCTAATAAAGCTACGTCAAAACGTAATTCTGTACCTCAGAGGTAAACTGCATTATTTAGCTAAACACAAATTTTACAGGAGAGGCGAAAATGCGTAAGTGAATCCTTGAATGCTTTATTGATTACAATGTCATGTATGATTGACTTAACGCTTTATACTCTTGTGTAGAATTTGTACTTGCGATTTTAATGGTGTAAGAAACATAAATTTGAAAAATGTGGAGTTACTATTGTATGCCTCTGAGCACAGAACTGAACAGTTTTACTTGATGACGCCGTGCTATTTGTCATGGTCCTAAATCTGTATTGACCCTCCATAGCCCTTTTGGGATCATTACCTCCACTCGATTAACGTTGTGAAAAAAAAAACAAAGTGTTTATGGTAACCCTACTCAGTTAATGAAAAGAAATTATTGGCTTTCTTCTGTTTCTCCTCCATTACCGATACATTAGCGCATCCTCTGTAACTATTAAATATTCTCAGAGCCACGCTAGCTGCGCCATTAATCATATCCGCATAATACAACCCCCAACAGAATGTATTTTGTAAAAGACCTTAAACAATAGTCAATAATAACGTTAATAGTCCGTACATTATTGCGCAAGTGATAGCCTTCTCTTGCCTAATTTTCGTACTACATCCATCGTTATATTATTAATAGAAAACTATTGCGGCATAAAGGTATGATAATATATGATAATTTTCAATTCCTTTTTATAAGCGGTTGTAATCGCATGATTGCGATAGTGAAAAATTGAAAAATTACGAAACATAAAGTAAAAAGTTAAGTATCAGCCTATAAATGTCCTACTGCTGCAAGGCCTCTTCTGTACAGAGGATATCAGGGCATAGTCCGCCAGGCGGCCCCACTGCGGATTGGCGGACTTCACATATTTACGAAATATTTTTTTTGTTATTATTTTGAAAATATGCAGGTTTCAAAATCGTAATTATTTAATTATATGTTTTGTAAAAAACTGTAGAGTGCTCGTAGATATATATATTCACGCAAGGTTTCTAACATTACTCTGCAGACAAGTTTACTTCCAGTGTGTAATTATTGTCTCAGTTATGACTTAAGCAGATCATGACCCAAATACTTTACAAGCATCAGTTACTTGCTAGTTCAGTGTAAGAAACTTCCTCATATTGCCAAAATTTGGTTATAGTGATCGTTATTAAACCTTGCTTGTTATTACATAGAAATCTTGTTACTACATTTTCCCGGTAGGACTATATATACATAATTGATATTTGGGTGTTGGAAATGTTAATTACTAAACCCATTAGTAGGGATTCTGTACAATTATAATATTCTTATATGTATTAATACTTTAAGCTTGCATTTATCTTACAGTGATTATAATGATATCATTATTGTCTATGTTAATGGTTATAAACAAAAAACCTTAAAAACTTTTTGTTTATTAATCATATCTTTATTAAAGCAAATTTAACTCAGACATTGAGGTCAGATGTGTAAGCTTACCGAAACAGTATTTTATTTTTTTGTTCCGTCCAGAATTCGTTCATGTATCACTTAGAAAATCGACGTAACAGTCGTGAAAGTTATATGTAAAACTCGGGCGGATTTCAACCGGCCACCTCTAATCAAACGCGAGTCTGTCACTTGTGTGCCTAAATGGCTGGTTGAAATATGTCCGATTGACTATTAGAATTAAACATTATATGGACAGATAATGCTTTCATATCTTCCAGATAATGTGTCGAATTGATCTAATTAAAGATTGATAACTCTGCCCGAAGATGAAGCAGAATGAACTGTTTGTGTCTTTAGCAAGCCGTTAATTTTCTTTTCTTAAGCAACTCGACACTGTAGTCCATTGATTAAGAGAAACTTTGTATGCGTTAGAAGTCGTTGGTTACTGAATATCGTTTCCTGGCATCTACTCGTACGGTAAAAGTTTGCAGAACAAGCACTTTAGATAATTATGTTTCCTTGATTCTGCATTCTATCTTTAATTGGTCTCGGGCATTCCTTACTCTTTTGTGTTTTCGACGTTTTGCGCGGCCTTTTATTAAGCATTGCTAATTACCTAGCTAAATCCGTTGTTCTTCCCTTTAATTTTTTTGCATGGACCACGCCTACTACGAGCCATGATAGCCCATTATCCAGGCGCTTGCTTGTAATTCAATATCGAGTATAATTTTCTCTCTCTCGAGTATAATTTTTTCTTCTCGCTTTTAATTCAATATCAATTTCGAGCAACCCGAGTTCGATCCCCGGGCCTGCAGGAATGAATTTTTTTTAATGTGAAAAATTGCCAAGCGAGCAGATGGTTCACCTGATGTTAAGTGAATACCGCCGCCCATGGACATCTGCTACACCCGAGTGTTCCTGATACGTTGACAACTTTTTGAAAATTGGGCTCCGGCTACTTTACTCACCAGACGAAACGCGAAAGTATTATACTTCCACTTTACGCCGGTCTTCTGTGAGGTCGTGGTGCCTACACGGACGAGCCTGCCCATTCGTGCAACAGCCGAGGCTGCTGCGTGGTCCTACCCTGTTCTTTTAGCAATTAGTAGGGAAGTCGATCTGGCTTACAATATAGCCGTCTAGCTATCGTCAATTTTGTATGAAGAGGCAACGAATTTCGTATAAACCAATATTTTCGAAAAAGAATTGTTACCATTTGAAGATGATGGAGTAATGTATTTTAATTTTGTCAGATTTTGTCAATTCACAAACACTTCCTTCCAAAATTAAAACTGTGTGTTAGTTTTAATTTTGAAATTATCAATATCTTTAGCATTCTCTTTTCTGTACCCGTATATTATCTCATCAAGTGTCATTCAATATTAGTTGAACCTTATCAACTTTTTTCACTTATTACAATACTAGTTGCTGCCCGCGACTACGTCTGCGTTGAAAAGGCTGAAGGCGTAACATTCAGACAGAAAGACAGATATACATAGAATATGTAAATAAATTATAGCCAATGTCTTATTCTGATGTATATTCTTATTCTAATAGCTATATTATTGTAGTTTCGTTAAAATTCATTCAGTAGTATTTACGTGAAAGAGTAACAAACATCCATCCATACACACAAACTTTCGCGTTTATAATATTAGTAAGGATAGTAAGGATGTCATAAATTATTAGCTTAAAAATATCACTCACAAAGAAAACCAGAAATTTTGTGAGTGCGCTAATTATATTATCATTAGATATCCATTTTTAAAAACTTACTTTAAAAGTTTTACATAACTTTTCTGATTTAGCTTTTACAAAAACAGTTTAACAGCTAATGCCATGAAAAACATTATTCAAATGTGATGCCAACCATACCTTAGTGGGGTAAGAGGACGACGAGGAAAATGAGACAGCGTTAATCCAATAATTTACTTAATAAAGCACTTCCTAAGGAGTTAATTAATATAATTCTTGTTATTGTCAAAACATCGGCGTTCTTCTATATAAAATGCTTGCAACATCTGTATTTTATTTAACACTAGCTGTGCCCGCGACATCGTCTGCTTGAAATTAAAAAAAAAAAAAAAACTCAAAAACAAAAGTGGCCTAAGTTACACCTTATTACATCATCTATCTGCCAGTGAAAGTCCCGTCAAAATCGGTCCAGCTGTTTCAGAGATTAGCCGGAACAAACAGACAGACAGACAGACAAAAATTATAAAAATATTATTTTGGCTTATGTACCGTGTATACATCCTTAAGCATTTAGTAAAAAGTGGTTATTTTCATATCACAAACAGACACTCCAATTTTATTTATCTGTATAGATTTAATCTCTATCCGTGCGCCATCGTGGCATATAAAGATTAATCTAATCGCCGTGGGAGGAGGGCACGGCGGCTGGATTTACGGTGCGCGGTGTGGAGGCTTGTCTACTCTTTTTCCCCTCTAGTAACTCGCTTACTTTCTAGATGGTTAGTTATTTTAACGATAAATCCTTAGTTTATGCTTTAAGGAGTGCGATGTGGACTCACGCTCGAAGGGTTCCGTACCATTATATATAAAAACGGCAAAAAAAAACATGTCTGTTGTATGGGAGCCCCCTCCCTCCCACTTAAATATTTTTTTATTCTATTTTTAAATATATAATTCTTTTTTTTTGTTTGTATAGCAGCAAAAGAGGTACATCATCTGTGAAATTTTCAACTGTCTACCACAGTTCATGATATACAGGCTGGTGATAAACATTCTAGTAGCTACAAAAAGTTATTGCATTAAAAATTTGCTTCAAAAAACAGTATTTTGACTATCACAAAGTTAACTTTTTTAATAGGACCAAAGAGGCCAAAGAAGCCAAAGAACTTGTCTGTCGTTATCACGAAGAATCAATAAAACAAAAACTCATCCTGCCGTGCGTCTGATTTTAACAAATTCGTCTCCAATGTATACGGACCATCTGAAAATAAATTTAATGGCTTATAGTGACATTCAAGACATTATTTTTTATTATATTATTCTGTTAATCATAGCATTTAGCCTTGTTTTTAGGGGCTTAATAACGTTATATATTCGCAAGAGTTTGTATTTGTTTATCTTACCTACGTCGAACCACTGGTTTCTCGGATATCCAGAGTCTACACGCGAGGCGGCAATAGCTTCCCGCAGCGCGAAAGCGACACTTACTGCTAGGCATATCGGTGGTTCACTCACGGCTGCGTAAATGGACAAAAAAAAACCTTAGTATTCTTGATTTAGGTTTGCTCAAAAACGTGACAGAGATAATGTATTTGAAAAATCAATATTTGTTTCATATTTTTTAAGATATGCTCGCGTGTCTTAAATTGTTTCAATAGTATATTACCTGTAATATCATTATGTTAAATAATTCACATTTAATTCGGCAGAATTGTACAGATAGATCGGATTTACATTACCTCTAGCTCCCAGAGTACCAATCGGGTTCAAAGAATTCCTTCGTAGCTTGACTCTAAAATCAAGAGGGATGTCTTTAGCTAGCGGCACGTGATAGTTCCAAGAGCGATTGGTAAGCAGTTCACCCGTTGTCTCGTCGTAAAGCAGCTGTTCGCAAGTCCAGTAGCCAAGCCCCATCACAAACGCTCCCTCTATCTGTATTAAGAAATAATAGTCACATTATCGCGACAGAAATCGTTGTCGGCAGAGTTCTTTGGATACATTCTTAATGTATGTATTCATAAGTACCCCGTTTGGATTTTTGTGTGCCTCAACCACATTTAATACTATGCAAAATTATTAAAAAAAGTCTATAAAAAGATATATGTGTTGTGTCTCTGGTTTGTTTGTACTATAAGAATTACTGCATATCCTACCTGACCCACGTCAATTTCAGGGTTTAAGCTTAATCCGACATCCTCTATAATGTCGACGCGCAACACCTCATGCTCCCCCGTCAAAATGTCCAATTCCACTTCAGCAACAGCTGCACCAGCTGACCTGTGTACTTCCTCGTCGTTCGGCGTCACTCTGTAACTGGCCTGTAGGTTAATGCCAGCTGTAAACGCTGCTTGTATGAGCAGTTCCCAAGTCGGATTGCTCAACGTGTCCCTTACTACTGACAAGCGGTCCAACAGCAGTTGGCAGCATTTAATTGCTCCGAAGCATATCGCATGCGTCGTCCTGCTGCTTCCGGATGTCGAACAGTTCGGATTCGAGGAGACCTCATACGGTTTGACTCTCACTTTATCCAGCGAAACGCTCAGTGTGTAAGCCACGGCTTGGGCGACTTTCGTATTAATGCCTTGCCCAACTTCGATACCGCCATGCTTCACTACTACCGTGGCGTCGCCATGGTATACCGTTATTAGTATATGGTAGTCCATTATGGTTCCAGCGGGCCAGCTCATAATCGCGACCCTTAAACCTCGCTTCTTCCAGCGGTTTTTCTCATTGAAGTTCTTCATTTCTTCTCGGCGCTTTTTGTAATCACTATCCTCTAAAAGGTTTCGAACGATTTCTGATACGTCGGTTAGTAATGGGTTCACATTCTTCAAACGAACCTCCACCGGATCTAAGTCAAGCTCATATGATATTCTTTCCATAACATGTTCCGTCATAGCAATGGTTTCTAGGGCACCTGAAATTTCGTTTCAAAATGTATATGGGAATGAATAATGGTATATTTAAGGATAATTCATAAAAGCCTGAGGTATATATAAAGTATACCATAAAGGTGTTTTTTTATACCTGGTGACCTTGCATATGTATTAGATGCGGTATCAGTGGTCACGGTGAACAACTTGTACTGCCACCGCTTGTTGTTGTAACAATTTTTAATTGCAGCCGTACTGAATATTGTGACGGTATCACTGACAACGTATCCATGGTCTTCGTATAGATTGTACTCCATGTACTGGATTTCACCCGCTTTGTCCACACCCACCTTAAAGAAATTCTAGTTAATAATTTAACCCGATTGATGAACGCGGTAAGGAACTATATTTTAAGTTATATCAGTTACCAATTGAATAGCAATATTAAGATTGTGATTTTGTATTTAAACATCATTTAGGCTTTATAAGAATATAAGACTAGCTATGAACGCATCTTTGATGTAGCGTAATATGCTTATTTGTATGTTTTCTAAACTAATATTTCCTTTTTAAACTCATGTATTTCCATCGAAAATGAAGTAAAGAATAAAGTCGAGACGTCCACATGGAATAGAGATGGCGGTCAGAGGATGTTTAATGTGTACAGTGTGGAAGAATGTAAAAGTATTACGAACCTCATATTCTAGCAGGTACGGTAAACGCTTGCCTACTATCCGCATGTTTGCCTCCATGCTCATAACGAAACGTGACGGGCGGGTGGTCAGATGGGTGACTAATGCGCAAGCACAAGCAACCATACCGCTACGCGTTATTTTGGCTCCAAAAGAACCCCCGCAGCGTGGAATCGCTATGTTGATTCTGGAAAGTCACCCACTTTCATCTTCATTTTTATCTTTTGATATTAGAAAAATAATAACTATTCAGGCTACTCAGTTTCACGGACATTTTCCATTGCTGATTTACCAGAATTTCGGAAAATACTTAGAAAATCAACGTCTTAGAGAAAACTAAAGGGAATTTAAATATAGGTAATGCCATTGCTAATCTTGTGCGTTTTGTCTAACGTAAACAGTATGCGCATACTGGCGAAATAATATAAAAGAGGTTCTGATCTTTTATTGCTTCAAATGCTAAAAAACTATGTAGATAAAAAACGTTAAAATTTTCGTCCGGGTGGCAAACAGCCGTTTAGCTTATTGGCTTAAGTGTCAAGCCGCGAACGCTGAAGACGTGGGTTCGATTCCTACAGCGGCGACAATCTTTTCGTACTTTTTGTACAAGTTTTAATGTTTAATCTTAAGTGCAAAAATTAGCACTATAAAAAACTTAAAATATGATATAGATAGTGTTCAATACGTGTGTACAATCATAAAATTTTCTTCACTTTTAAAATGTATTACCCGGAAGGTGTTTTTTATTGATGTTGAAAGTTACTAATTACTCGTCTTCTTTCTTAATCTTTCATGGCTTGGTAAAAATATTACAAAATAAATCAACGACTCCATACCGATTTTGCGGTAATTTGAGCATTTCCGAGATAGCCACATGAATTTGATTTGGCCACTGGCTAGCTGCGTACACGTCTATTCCATCCTCGCTGCACCTCGTTACGCAGGACTGCGTCTCCATATGATAATGGTATTGTCCGGAGCTGCATTGTTTCCCCTTTATGACTGTCTTGATATCCAGGCCCCTGCCCCTTGCTGGATAGAACAGTAGAAGCGATACGCGTTCGGGTTCTCTTGATTTGGCGTCTGCTATAGTTAACACTGGTAGGGATTTGACTTGTTCGTACTTCGCCTTAACAAGGCGAGCAGCGTGGTTAGCCAGTTTTTCTGTATCCGCTACTATTATCCCGATTGGCTGGTCGTAGTACTTAACATCGCGTTCACAAAGCACTTCCTCGGAAACGAGGATCCCGGGCACTTTTTTAGGTAGAAAGGAATTCTTGCCGGGAATGTTTTTCGCGGTGAAGAACGACAGGACGCCAGGCAGTTCCTGGAAATGACTTAGATATATAAGGTCTTCACGGGAGCCATTTTATATATATTATATATATAGCAGTCACAGATAAACGTGATAGAGAGTGTGTCATTGTATTTCTGATAAATTTACCTCTAAAAAGCTTGAAACAGCAGATAAAGTGTTAAAAGTGTAATAAGTGACAATTTTATGTGTATATCATGAAGATTAACAAAAACAAATTGTTACCAGGGCCGCTGTTGGATCAATCGATTTGATCACGCCCCTACAAACATTGGACGTGACGAAAGAACAGAAGACCTCATTCGCTTGGGCTGGAACGTCATTAACGTACAAAGCTTCTCCGGAGCATTGGACTAATGATTCAAGTTTTGGCATAGGCTCGTTCAGCGGCCAGAGAAGGGGATTTGTATCGTAAATCTCGGAGCCTTTCGACACCGGCCTAGTTTTTTTAAAGTCATTAGCGCCTGAACGGTAGCGGGTGTTTACTTTTTCTGGTGGTATTAGAGACAGCAATCCCTGGAATACAGTTCGTTGAGTAAGATCCAAATATATGTACAGAAAATAATAGCGAAAAAGTTCCCAACTGAGTTAACGATAAAAGGTTTTTGGTGGTATATATTTAACTAATCTATTGCACCATCGTTAAAGACTCCGTGAAAAGTTAAAACAGACAACAATATTAATACAAAATATAGTAATGTATCGAACTAGGGATGTTAATAAGTTATTTTTTTATAAATTTCTATGCTAATAAAGAAAGAAAGTATTTTTTTTTGTATTTCCAAAAAGGTATATTTAGATCGAAATAACACAAGATTTTCTGATCTGGATATATTTGACAGAATTAAAATTTAATTCATTTTCTATGACAAAAAAAAGAACAAGTCAATAAAGATGTTGATACAATAATTATGATTATTGTAAGATTTTCTAGAGTAATAACAAAACGCGTAAGAGGCCTCACCTTATAGAATAATCCCAAAACACATTTCTTTCTATATTGCGCCTTTGAATTGGCGCGAATTTCTTCCATAGGCATTTCCTTATCGAGCACCCGCAGAGCGCCCTGTAAGGTTTCATTTGTAAATAGCTTCTTTCCGAGCAGAAACTTTTCCGTATTGTGGGCGCGGACGAATTTCTCTGAGAGTCCTCCAACGACTATGCTGACGGACTGCAATGTCTCTCTGTCTGCCCTATGCAACTGGTAAATGAACGCCGCATTCACATGGGCCGGTGCGTTTTGTGAACGTGGCATCACCTGCAAAACGATAAAAAAATATCAAAACATACTCACTTTTTCGTCATCAGGACAAACAGTCCCCATATCCAACTGATATGACCCGTACCTATCAGGTGGCTTGTCACTAGACTACTAATTGACCTTAATCTACTTGGATGATTTTCATCCAAGTAGACCATCCACCAGCGCATCTTCAAAACGATATAATTATGTGATTTGCTAATTTTTACAAAGTATTTACAAAGATTTAGCATGTGACACAAAAAAACCAGATGAGACAAAATAATATTATATTAGTAATGTAAATTATTTACAAACATACAAATAACATAAAAAACAAAAATAACGCGCGAAAAACCCTTCCTTGGTAGTCGGGTAGTTAAAGAATACGAGTATTATTAGAGATCTACCTTAAAAGAAATAAAATAATTATTTGATGACAGTGGTGGCAGTTTAATTTCAGCTAATAATTTTCCCGTCATATCCGTGGATAGAAAATTAGGTAGACTCATATCCATTGATCCGTTAGCGTCTCCTGAAAGAAAATGTCAAGATGAATATAATTTTATTTGTAATTAACTCGAATTATTCGTATGAAAAAATATCTTTATCATTGTTAAAATGGCATACTATAGAGAATGATTTTAGGTACACTAACTGTTTTATTTTAGTTTATTAAATACGTGTAAATTACGTTTGGTTTAGTTAACCGTTAGTTTACTATGACTTGGATAATAATTTGGAATGATTGATAAAAAATAACAATATAATTAACTTACTGATTGTTAAAGTAGCACGAACTGTTTCGAACAACAGAAAGATATCTGAAGGGAAACTAGGGTGTTTATGCTTCAGCATTAAGTTGCCGCCGATGGTACCAATCTGAAATAATTAATGGTTAAAGTTTGTTAATGGATACTTGACACACGTACATATTAAATTCTAAATGAATAGTAACATTGTTTCTTTTCCTAAACAGGGATTATTATATTTAGCTATTGATTCGTTACATATAGACAATCTGGGACCATAATAGATTAGGATCCAGGCCATTTACTTCCGAAATTATGTAATCAAGTCATTGATGATTTGTAATTATATTCCTACTGGTGAATAAAAACAATATTTTTTATATTGCAGTTTTCTTATAGAGTACCACATGAGGAGTGGTGAAGAAAATATCATGAACTGAAGACCATACATATAATACGAAAAAAATATTACTAAGAAATGTCAGGTCCACCAATCAGTATTCCGGCGATAACGCACCTTATGCGGGAGCCTTTTGTCTACGTATAAACTCTAAAAACTTGCTTTTTTATTAATTTAAAAACCAATAACAATATAAATTATTAAATAGCAGTATTCGTGCAGCAGTAATGCTCTCATATTTAAGAGTCTCTTTTATATTTGTGTTATGTGTAGAAGTTATTGAGGGTCCATTTACTTAACTTACATTTCGTACAGGTATATTAGCAACAGCTCTAAATGCTCATACATCTTTATTAAGTAACCAAATTCTTCTCTTTCTTTCGATATATCATTGAATATATGCATAGCATCTGTAATCGTAGTGCCGGCGCCGATTATTAGATTCTGATCTATGTAATGTGTTTTCAACTCCTCAACTGAATTTATATCTATTAAGACCCTTGGTAATACCACGATAGGGAATGCACCTGTAATTGAATGGCAAGTCCATTAAATAATTATCATATGAATAGACAATATTATTGCATATTGTGTAATAGATGTTTTCCAGCTTTTTGTTGGTTTTCAAAATAAACTTTCCATATGGCACTTAAAAGGTTTTAGTAAGGAGATCTCATACAAAATTTTCGTTTTATACTTTAAATTTTGCCACCTGTCGTTCAATTTTAACTCACACTAAGACTTACCTCTTCCTGTATTACCATTAATTAATTGATAGGATTTGGTTCCTTCAGTTTTTAAAACATCAAAAACATCTTGAACGTTGTTAGCTTTATACCAGACATGTCCGTCTTTCATAATTATCTTTTTTACGTCAAATTTCAGGTCATTTTTACCAACTATACACCAAGTGTTATCACATTTCGTGTCGCAAGATTTTTGGCTATTGCAAATATTTAAATCTTCTATGTCGTTAATATTAAATTTTGTTTCTATTTTAGCGAAACTCTTAAATGCGTCGAGAATTGTTCGATATCCGGTACAACGACACGTATTACTGGCGAATGACTTCTCTATTTCATATGATGTAAAATTGTGATTACTAGATTCTAATAAGCTGGAAGTATTAAATTTGGTAAATTAAAAAAATAATATAATAATGAAATATAAATTAATTGTTGGGTTTATGTCGAGGGTTTAAATTGTAATGTCTTCATCATCACCATCATCATTTCAGTCTGTTTGAGTCCACTGCTGAACATAGGCCTCCTCCACAGACTGCCACGAAGCATGATCCTGAGCCACTTGCATCTAATGTCTTACATAAACATAATCTTTATAACAATAGTAGAAAAAAAGTTCTGCAAACTAAAGAGTTAGGAAAGAGAAGAGTAATTCAGCTGAGCTCAGTACTTTTGTAATTTATTTATTTTTAACATTTATCGATAAATTATAGATACAACATCAATATAGTATAAAACTCTTGCTATATTTCTGAGTAGCCATTTTTGGGATATAATTAAACCCCTGTCTAATATACCAACAATACGGCGAGACAGGTAGCTCTCTCTAAAAAGTGACAGGTAACATAACAAACACATATCACACCTGTACATACTCATGACCCATCCAGGGCTGCAATAACCACATTGGCTGCCATTGTACTCCGCCAGTGCTCTCTGCACTGGATGGTAGCAAAGCCTGTTGCCAATGCCTTCGATAGTTGTCACACTCCAGTCTTCGCACGACGTGATCGCAACTAAGCACTTGATAAGCAAAATTTATCGATAGAAAAAACCATTCAGTAACAGTAGAATTGAAAGAAACCATATCTCCTTATCCTTTAAACGAGCAATTCTTGTCTATATTTTATGTATATACAATCGGAATCTCGGAAAGGGCTCCAGCGATTTTCATGTAATTTAGTATGTGCGTAGATTCGGCGGCGAAAAATCGATCTAGCTAGGTTTAATTTTTAGAAAATGTCCTTTTATCCCTGTTTTCAGGGAATGAAAAATATCTTTCGAATATGACAGTAAATTTTGCCGCAAAAAATATGTTAGAATAGCTCGGTCGGTAATCGGGCGGCCCCAAAATAGACGGCCGCGGTTCGTCACGATCAATTTACACACTTATTTTTTTACATTTTTTTCTACACCAGATCATTTTCTTTATTTTTTTATAACATGATTTACCAAAAAAACCGAGTTAAGCTCGGTCCTCAAGGTACTTTAACTAATGTGTTGTACATATGAGGAAACGTAGATAAAGTTTTGTTTTAAATATTAGAAGAACCGTGTCTGTGTGGTCTAATAATGAGTGTTATCATAATGAAAGACCATGCCGTTACTGGTGACCATTCCGGACAATTTTCTCAATATCTTCCTTGAGTTTTATCATCTGTTGGCAGTTGATAATGGTACAAACCTGTTCATACGCAATTAAATGATATCCAGATGAAACGCAGAAGTGTAATACTCCTACACTTCTACTTCTCGCCCGTCTTCTCTGAGGCCGTACTTACCTGGCCGGACCTCCCCTTCGCGCAACAGGGAACACTGTTGCGTGGCCCTACCACAGTTAAGTTAAATGTTTTCAATCAGTTTAAGTAGTAATAAAATTGATTATAGGTCTAACTGAGTTAACGGCAAACGTTCGCTTGCGGCCGAAGTGGTCGACGGTGGTGACAGCAACTACGCAAGCGCCGCAACCGCCTTCCTTGCACATGTACTTGGTGCCGCGTAGGTTAAGATAGTTGCGGAGGTAGTCATTCAGCGATAGGTCTGAGTCGATGTCTGGACCAACTGAAATGCGTTACAAAAAATTTTAAACACATTTTTTTTATAAATACACGTAAAAAAGTTTATGTTTTATGTCATATTAAACTAACTGTGCCCACGACTTGGTTAGCTTGGTTTTTAAAAGAAATAAAATTTCTTAAATAAAATTAGCCAAAGTTATTCCTTATTATCTGCCAGTGAAAGTCCCGCAAAATCGGTTCAGGCGTTTCAGTGATTAGCCGGAACAGACAGACAGACAGACAAAAATTGTAACAAATGTTATTTTGGTATATATGTACCGTGAATACATCCATATGCATTTAGTAAAAAGCGGTTGTTTTAAAATTACAAACAGACACTCCAATTTTATTTATCTGTATATATGTATAGGTAAAAATCGTATTGTTATACTGACAGTTGCTGCCCTATTTGTTAACTGTTTGTATATAAAATTGTATATAAAAATACGTTGTATATAAAACGTAGAAAATGGTGGTAGGGGCACGCAGCAGCCTCTATTGCACGAATGGCTATTGCACGAATGGGCAGCCCCGTCCGGGTGGGTACCACGACCTCACAGAAGACCAGCGTAAAGTGGAAATATGACAAATACTTTCGCGTTTCGTCTGGTGAGTGAGGTGGCCGGAGCCCAATTTTCAAAAGGTTGTCAACGCATCTGTAACCCTCGGGTGTAGCAGATGTCCATGGGCGGCGGTATTGACTTACCATCAGGTGAACCGTCTGCTCGTTTGGCAACTTTTCACATCTTACAATAAAAAAAAATCTTACATTACCTAAATGTAAAATATGTAAGTTTAGCCTTAGTAGTTCACCTCATTACCTAAACAAATATAGTTAAAATTCTCTTAACTCACCAGAGCACTGTTTTCCGTTAACACTAAACACAATTCTATCCATTGCACCGATTATCACAGAAATAAAATTGCTCTCTGCAATAGAGCATACATGCAATTGGCACGGACTGGAATTACTAAGAGTAGTAAATGGATCGATTCGCTCATCCGAACGAATAAGTTATTACCCGTAACAAGATACCGTTACTGCATGCAGTGTTTTTTCCGGCTTAATCTCGGAAGAAACAAGTGCGTTTTTATCTGCTTATGCTGCGCATTCATACTCAAGTGTAATAATGTAGTAAAAAGTAATTTTCATTTTTACTATGATGATTAGCAAATAAGTCTTTTAAGCAGATTAAAAAATCAACTATCGTTTCTATTTCCTAAAATTATAATCCATTTAGATATTTCGAATTGGATTAGTGTTTCACCGAATACCTGTTATATCTTTGTAACATTAAAAAAAATTGTAAAGTTAAAAATATTTTTCTAATATTAGTATGGAGAAAAAAAAACTTTTGATAGATTGGTTTTATGATTCGATCGAAGGAACCTGTCATTAAATCTTCACGGACTTTCATGTCAAAAGCAATAGCAGTCTTTTGGTTCACGGTTCGTTGAACGACGTCGTCTTCGTTTCGTTCCAAAATGGATTGAAAGACGTAAATTAAAAGATATTTATCACCGCGGCTGGTGAGAAGAGCGCCGGTTCTTTTCTCACTTTAAAGTTAAGCATAATTATTCTCCGAAGAAATGCGTTCTTGGATCCCCATCTGTTTAACCGGTCACCGAGGCAATCGGCAGCGCTTCGGATGGTACCAGAACTCAGAAACAGTCGATAAATACAACATAAATTCGTACAGTTTTTAGTTTCTAGTAATGGAAATAAGGATAAGACATAATGATCAGAACTTCGTTATTTCTAATGCCGTTTATTAAGCGATCAGCAAACGCTAAATACTATAATGTTGTAAATAAGTAATTAACAATTTAAACATTGACTGTTATATTCTTATGCTTTTTTCTTTATTTGCTAGGAATAACACCTGTGGTAAAATTAAAAAAAAGTAAAGTACCAGCCTATAAATGTCCCACTGCTGGGCAAAGCCTCCTCTGTACAGAGGGTATCAGGGCATAGTCCACCACGCGGCCCCACTGCGGATTGGCGGACTTCACATTTTTCCGAAATATTTTTTTGTTATTATATCGAAAATATGCAGGTTTCCTCACGATGTTTTCCTTCACCGCCGATCACGTGATAAGTCAGCACTTAAAATTAACAATTTCATTGGTGCCGGCACCGGGGATCGAACTCAGGTTGCTCCAGTATATAGTATTAATGGCGAGCGCTCGGACACTGAGCTATCACTAAAATTTAATAATAATAATTTGTTACTGATAAAGAATAACATTCAAAACTTTTTCGTTTGGCTGTTACATATCATGGTATTCCAACAAGTGCGTTTTATTTAAAATGTATAAATGTATGTGACAATCTCGTCATCAATAAATGTCACTATATACGAGAAGATAGCGTTCCGCTATACTAAAAGATTATAATAGCGGCTTCGGTATCGTAAGAGACCAGGAGGATTTACGGGTATGGGGTGCTGATGAAAATCTAAATACTCCATTCTGCGCCCATCCGAAATTGCTCCAAGGAGTTTTAAGTGTCGATAAAAGGCTTCCGGCGCTTCAGGAAGCTAACAAAACAGCTACAGCCTCAATAAAACTTTTAAGTGTCATTAAGAAATTCCAAGGGAAGATAGCGATTGCCGGCTAGAAGGTATTTTATAAGCAAAACATTAATTCTTATCCCACTTAAATAAATTTTGAAGTTATTATTAATGAGGAGATTATACTAAATTTGATTCTTAATTTTTTTTTATTTAGAAACGCATTCGTGTTCGACTACTATGTAACACTTTGTTTCGGTATCTGTACCCATTGTCTCAAATTATCTCATTATTAACGTCATATTATAATCTGATACCGCAAATGTTTCTGCCATCATGCATATTTTCTAAAGCTCTTTTTGCACCTGTAAAGCACTTGCTCCCACCTTCAGCTAGGTTAAAGTAAATAATATCAGTGATTACTGATTTAAATTAAGATTATAACGGTACGGAATTAAAAAATATTGACACAGCTATAGAAAAAACCGGCCAAGTGCGAGTCGAACTCGCGCACGAAGAGTTCCTTACCTTTATTATTATTATCTATAAAGATAGCAAAAAAAATATGGTACGGGAGCCCCAACTTAAATATTTCTCTATCCTGTTTTTTACAATTTGTTGTTATAACGGAAACAAAAATACATCATCTATGAAAATTTTAACTGTCTAAATATCACGGTTCATGAGATACAGCCGTGACAGACGGACAGACAGACAGACAGAGAAGTCTTAGTAATAGGGTCCTGTTTTACCCTTTGGGTACGGAAACGTAAGAAGGATGTAAGTATTATTTACTAGCTGCTGCCCGCGACTACGTTTGCGTAAAATAGGCTGAAAGCGTAACAATCAAATAGAAAGACAGATATCCATAAAAAATGTGTATAAATTATAGCCTATGTCTTATTCTGATGTATAAGCTATATTATTGTAAAGTTTACTTAAAATCCATTCAGTAGTATTTCCGTGAAAGAGAAACAAACATCCATCGATACATACAAACTTTCGCGTTTATAATTTTAGTAAGGATCGAATAAAAACCGATTAAAAACTCGGACATGAGGCGTGATTATGCCGACACGCAAGACTTCGGCTCATTTTTTTCCCATAGGTGCTTTTGTTTCATCCGTATTTACTCTTGGCAAAAACAACACCACTAAGTGAAAAAACGAAACCGTACATGCAAATGAAATGGCGTGCCCAAACGAGACGATGGCACTGGGTGACAATATAAAGTTGATTACTAATTCAGTTTCGTCTTTCGTTTAATGTTAAATGGCAGACGTTTTTTTCAGAAAAAGTCTGCATAATAGTCAGATAGAGTGGTGACTATTTTGAGATGGGAAAACATTTTGCATTGCAAGCGAGCTGGTGATTCACCTGATGCAGAGTGATAACCGCCGTCCATGGACATTAATTGCAACACCCGTAGGGTCGCAGATGCTTTGCCACCTTTGAATAAAGTGGGCCCCGGCTACCTCACTCACCAGACAAAACGCTGAAGTGTTACACTTCCACTTCACGCCGGTCTTCTGTGAGGTCGTGCTACTTACCCGGACGGACCTGCCTAATCATGCAACAGCTGATGCTGTTTCGTGGCCCATTTCTATAACCCTCGACTCTTTCCATGCTAAAATGAAGACTGACCTTTTAATATCAATAAACTATTATGACCACTTATTTTCTATTATTTGGACCAGTTTTGTTAATTGTTCCAAACAATTAACAAAACTGGTCCAATAGCTCTTAATTTTATCTACAGAAGGAGTCTACTTTACTATTTGAAGGAGTATTAAGAGGATATTTCTTTCATGGCCTTAGAGGTCTTAAAGAGCTTTATATATTTGTATATTAGATTTAGTAAATATTATGCAAAAATAAAATCGTTTAAAAACTTTTAAGTTAAACGGTTTTATTTTCTGTGTTTTTTTTTGTGCACTGAAAACTACAATATTGTATTGTCATCTAAATTAAATGTGTGTACCAAATTTCACATCAATCTGACAACGGGAAGGTGCTTAAATTTCAATTTCTAATTTTGACCCAAATAAACAAACAAATTCCGTACGGGTTGAGCTAAATAAAACCTATTAATAATAATTAGAAAAACATTTACAATCTTTGTGTGACTGCTGTCAAATTTTCAATTTTTTATGAAAAACACTCCCTATATTGCGTGGGAAACAAAATGAGAGTGGAAATTTTCATTAGTAGAACTTCTAACGCCATTCATACCGAAGTTAGTTTCTTTAGGTACTGTTCTATCAAGTGCTCTAGTTGATGTGAAAAATGTTATGAAAAATTCACGACGAACGAAATAAGTTTCTTATCAACGCGAAGGACAAATGAAGAGGAACTTTATTACTCTACTTTAAAATTCACACGAATTTGATGCTCCTCTGCGAAAATTGATAACCTTATGGAAATATTAAATTATGTGCTAACTTTATTTATAAAATCTCTTGAGAATAATATCTCTATGACTTATAAAGTCACACTAAATGTTAAAAAGAAATTTTCTCTTTTACAATGATCATGTTTTAATTTAGCATTGACATGGCCTATGATTTAATTATGATTGTAATATGCCAACAAGCTACAAAAACAAAATAAAAATATATTTTCATTCTGGTCAATTAATTCCATGTATTTGTTTTAATATCGTAGAAGCCATTTAAATTTGACCTTGTAACTCAGTAAAGACACGTCGTCAAGTTAATCAGGTATTATTATACCCTTTCGCATTTACATCGTAAAATTAAAAAGTTTTTTTTTTACCAAAAGTTCAATCATTTTCATCAAAAACACCTTGCGTTAAATATCAGTTTTACTATGATTAATTTTTATTCTACAGATCATAGCACTCGAAATGAACCAAATGTAAATTTTTCTAAGTAATTTGTCGAAAAAACCGAGCTTATACTTTCTAACCAACTGAGCTTAGCGGTTGAATGCTCCGGTAACGGAAATTTCGATATCTATATAATTTTTTTTCATTTTTTTAAATTATTACATCTATATTTTTTAAATTTTTTTGAGCCCATAAATCAAAAATAAGTATATATAGAAAAATTCCTATCCGTGCAAAACTTATATATAAACTTATTTGCATACTTGTTTTCTTATATTCATGAAAATTATATGAAATACTTCAGTGCTCTAATGTTTATTTCATAAATCTGATAAATTTGTTTAAAAATCGCCCGCTTAGATATGCACCTGTTCCAGGATAAACTTATGCTCTTTGGTCAAGTAGTTAATTTTAAGGTAAAATTAAAAAGTTAGGTTTACTATGAAAGTTTACGAGACTAAGCATTTACATGATATTTGGACAGCATATTTTGTAAATATCTCGATTTATTTTTGATGTTTTGAATGATGAATAAGC